GACCTGGCCGTCGACCGCAGTACCGCCACTGCGCGCGCCATGGAACTTCACTCCGGACGCATTCACATATGCCAAATTCTTCCTCGGCGCGCCGGATTACCTCCGCGACGAGCTGCTCGCTCAGAAGGCCCAGTTGGAAGCCGAGATCCAGACGCTGAGGCGCTTCGGGCAGCGCGGAGGAACGGACGAGCAACTCGGCATCGTCTTCATCGACGCGGCTCTGCGCAAAGTCGACGAGCAGCTGCAAAAGGTCGAACTGCTCAAGACTACTGCCGTCATGACCGCTCGCAAGCGGTCCTTGCGTGAGCTGCACGACATCCAACAGCTCCGAGCCGCTGACGCAGACGATCGATTGCCGCCGGTCACCGACACGTCCGCGAGTGAACTCGAGGCGGCTTCGGACGTCGACACCTCCAGATCAGATTATCTCAGCACGGCGGCAGCGCGGCAGCCTCTTCCTGCGCCTCCTGTTTACGACCCGATACCGCTGGACTTCCTGCACACGAGATCGACGCCGCTGGCAGCAGGAGCGCCTCCCTTCACTCCGTCGACGACTGCGCCACCTGCGGTCATTTCGGCCACACTGTCTCCGCCGCGGACGCGGACGGCGCAGAAGCGGTCAAGTGTACCGACCGAGCAGCCGGTGGACGACGTCGCGTACTATTTCTACCAGGCTGCTTCCGGCCAGCCGATCTTCCTTTCCCCGCTCGACATCAAGATCCTCAAGTCGCACTTTGGCACCTATCAGGCCATGCCCGACAACATCGAGGTCGTCGTGGAAGGCGCAGACGAAGGCTCGATGAATGACGAGCTGCGTCGTCGGTGCAAGTGGCTCGGGCATTTGCCGGTCGCCAGCGACGTGGTCTTCATCGAGGCCGACCTGTCGACGGTGGTTCCGAAAAAAGCCCTGGCGCCGTATACGACCGCGCTTCGGCAGCGCAGGACGAAGCGGCGAGACAAGGCGCGGAAGGAGGATCGCGCCAAACAACGCAGCGAGCAGAAGGCGGCCGAGGCATTGCCGGTGCATGAGTCAACGTATGCGTTTGGCGCGCCGGGCGGCTTGCCCTTTGGTTTCGCCGCTGCCTCCAGCTGGGACGACGATCAAGCATTTCCGGCCACTTCTACTTCGCCTGGTCCAGGTCGCCCGAGCTCGCCACGCCGGGCGGCGGCACCTTTCGTCGCGGATGCCCCGACTCGGTCCCCGCCGCCGCTTCCACAAGCCGCTCGACCTTCGTTCGCTTCGGCGGTTCACGCGTCCTCGCGATCAGCCGGAGGGTCCAGCTCGACTCAGTCCGCTTGGGACGATGCGCTCGAGGATCGATGGGGACAGCTTGAGGAAGAGATCGGCCGCCGTCGAGCTGCATCACCTCGCACGGCCGCTGCATCCGGCGTGAGCGCGCCGGGAGAGACAAACTCGAATGGCCAGGGCAAGAAGGGGAAGCGGGCGAAGAAACTGACGCTTCATTTGAGCGGCTCGGCTCTGCGAGGGGCCGGTTGAGCTGGCAATATCCGCACTGTAGACGCATCTCATTCACTCAACCCTTGTCGCTTGTAACACATAACACTGCAAAAAGAGGGACTGCCGTGCCTCTTGAAACTTTTGTTTTACTGTCCTTTCACGCGCTTGTCCTGATTGGCAATCTTGCCGTCGACTGGTATCGGCTTCTCGCGAGCACGTTCGGCCTGCCGAGCGCCCGCCTTTGAAGTCGGCACGAAGCTGCGCGGGTGCCGTCGATGGTTCAGTCCCCGGAACTTGCTGAGAGGGTTCACAGGAAACAAACTAACCGTTTCTTCAGCGCCAACAACATCAAGCGGAACCAATACTGCAGGCGGGCAGGCGGTAGTCAGCTCCTGCTCATGTCGGGTGAGGATGGTCTCTGCTCACAAAGTTGAGGGAGTTCGCGGCCAGGTTCAGGATCAAGTAGAGCCATCGGATACGGCCGGCGTCGCGGACGCGCAGGGCGAGGAAGCTGGTGTCCTTCGCGGCAGGTACGAGAAGCTTCCACAACCGGACCGAGTTGTACGTCCCCATAATGAGTCGGACGACAACATAGCTCGCGCTGAACAAGGGACGTTGTTAGCCACACTTCCGTGCCGCGACCAGCCTCCGGAGCAAAACGCACACGAGGAAGAGTCCGTTAACCATCTGAGCGATGGATCCAGTCATGTGCAGCTTGTCGAGTAGCCAGTGAGCATTGAGGAACTGCATAGAGGGTACCGGTCAGGAGAGGGTCTGCCATGCGGGAATCGATTGCGATTTACAATTGTCGAGGTTTCCCACTGCCCGCCCGAACCCAGGCTTTCATCAGCATCCGCTTTGGTTCGAGGCATGTGAGGACACTCGGCTCACGATCAGGAAGGTAGGACCACACCACAGGACGAACGGGCGAAGAGTAAAGAGGAAGGCGACGAGGCAGACGGCTCCGTGAAGGAAGAAGCCGAAGCCCTGCGTTCCAATGTGCCGTGCGGTAACGAAGGCGTCCTGCGCATGCGCAGCGCATATGAGTTCAAGCTTCACAGGACATGCGAAGGCGGAAGGGAGTGCTCACCCAGATGAAGTAGCCGACTGCAATCGCAGAAAGACGCTGCTCGGGAAGGCCTACGCCGTACAAGGGATCGGCGGCCAAACTTGCCGACGGGTGACGCAGCAAGTGTATCGCGACGGGGGTGGCCATGAAAGCATAGAGCCAACCGACCTGCGGGAGGCAAAATCCGCGGTCAGTGGAAAAAGAAAGGAAGACGCGTCAACAGCGTCTGACCATGTGCAAGTCCCAGTCGTTCTTCTTGACGCGGTTTGTCGGGTAGTACGAGCTGAAGATGACCGGGCTGATGATTGCGCTCAGCTTTTGGGCGGCGAACGAGGCGACGCAGGCAAACACTGTCAGGTGAGCGACTTCGGGCAGCGCGGTGAAGCCGAGTCGATCTCCGAGCGGCTTGGCGAGGGCGACGAAGCCCGGATACGAGTCGAGAGCTCGCGACTCGATCCACGACATGGTTTCTTGCAAGCTTTGGGGTGGGAAGGGCGAAAGCCGAACAGCGGTGTGGCGGGGAAGAGATGCGTTTCCAGTTGCCGCAAGCCGATGCAAGGTCGGGGGCGGCGCAGGAGTCGGTCGAGGAGACTCGGCGGAAGGTTTGCTCGGCACTCGAGTGAGCCTTGCCCGGAAGGGTCTGTGCAGCAGTGGACAGAGGAAACCGATGCCGCCGCCTTTCGCCTTCTCATCATCGCCCAACTTGGCCCAACTTTGCCTCGCGCACATATACCCATATCGGCTACGACTGGCGCGATGGCTCCCATCCTGAGCTGCCACCCGGGCTCGCTCAACGCCTTCGCCCTCAAACTGAAACGTGAGTCGGCGCCGGGACCTTCGCCGTCCGCACCCCGTTGTTGACCAGACACACGGTTCTTCCTCTCCCTTAGCCAGCGACACGATTGCGACCATCAAAGCTCGCGCCGCTCGCAAGCTGGCCATACCCGACGAAGGCGCCGACATTGTCCTCAAGTACCTCTGGTGCGACGTATTCTACACGTTGGACGATGGTGCGTGCCTCTCTCTCTCTCGCGCGTGTGTGTGTACCTGGCCGAGGGACAGGCTTGTCTGGGCAGGGGCTGAATGCGACGCACGCCTACAGACGACGACTTTGACGTCTTCTTGACGCGGCACCAGAACTCGCCCGAGGTCACTCTGCTCCTCTCGTCCCCCCACATTCCGACTCAGAACCCGTCGATCGCGTCCGTCTCGTCTTTACCGCCCAGTTCAGCGTTCTCGTCTTCGTCCGGCGCCGGAGGACCGCGAGCAGATCCGGACGCGTCCTCCCTGTATTCGTCCCGGTCGTATCTCTACGGCAGAGGAGAGCCGCACGACCGTCGCCCAGGGACTAGCCTTCACCTCGTGGTGCCGAGCGGAAGGCACGGTGACGGAGCAGAGAGTGTCCGATCGGGTCGCAGTGGCCGCAGTGGTCGGAGCGCGCGCAGCGCACATAGCAACGGAGCCGACACGCTCGGGACGAAAAGTCGAAAGGGCGGCAGCAAGTCGTTCGACCCGGCCGTGCCAGAGCACAAGATCAAGTTTGAAGAGTTCCATAACCAGGTGAGTCACTCGATTGCTAGGCTAGCGGGTTTTGATGCCGGGACCCGCCGAGTTGACCTGTGATCCCGATTCGGGGTTTCCACCTACAGCTCGGTGTGCGGACCTTCATCGGTTCCATTGGACCAGTCCAGAACGTCCGCATGATGGTGCGTTGCAGCGCTTTGCAGTACGACGCGTCCGACGGTTGGTTGATCCTCCCTCGCCGCCTCGCGCAGATGAAGTCGGGCCACCGAGCGTGTTACATGTCTCGGGCGTTTGCGCAGCAGAACAACTTCATCCCGAAGGACGCAGCGCCCGGGTTCTATGGATTCTCCGGCATCACGAATCTCGGAACTTGGCCCATCACTGTACGCAGATTCACGCTTCCCGCTCTCCGGACGGTTCTCACCTGTGTCTGATGTTTGCTTGCGAAACTCGTCCACAGGTCGGCAGCAAGACTATTGAACAGCAGGTCATGCTTGTCGAGAATTCCTACTTTCCGGTCATTCTCGGGCGGTCAGTGTGGATTACGCTCCTTTTCTACTCGCGCAGGACGTGGCAATTGACAGCGAGGTTCCCGTGGCGACAGGTCCTTCATGGAGAGGCGCGGAGTGCGGACGGATCCGCTCGACCCGACGTCGGTGGTCTTCATGGACACGAACGAGGTCATCCACACGGATCTTGTGATTGTCAAGGACGAGAATGGTGTAGTCATTCCCATCAGCTGAACTATCATCAGACACTGTGCTTTTCATTGGTTGCCAAGCAGGTGTCCTCTCCCTTGCCGGTGTTGCTCTATCCTTACTCTCAGAATCACGGCGTGAGACGTGGCATGGCTTTTGCTACATTACCTTCCGGCATAGCAATTTTGGGTACATGGCATAGCAATTTTGGGTACATGTACGTTAATTTGACTGACACAACATCATGTTGGCACTGATAGTTTAGTGGCAGAATGCAGCTTTCCCAAGGCTGCGGCTCGGGTTCGATTCCCGGTCAGTGCATTGTTTTTTTTTTTTTCTCTTTCTGCCGTGACCTTCCGGTAATGCCTTGTGTCTGTGGCCACCATTGAGATTGCGGCACAGGGCTCAGTGCTAAACTGTCGACTATCTTTCACTTTTCCCCTTTCTCTCTGCTCAGTGCTGAAACAGGCCAAGGATGTGTAACAAGTGATTGCAAGGTGGATTGTTCCCCTGTACTCAGTCAGAGTGTGTAGAGAATGCATGTAAAGAGAGGCAGGAAGGCATCTCGTGCAGAGGTTCAGACTGGACCAAGGGCCAAAGTTGAGGCCCTGCAGGGCGCACCTCTCAAGCAGCAAGCTTGATGCAAGAGCAGGTGTACTGCACAGCTTTGGGTTGTAGCTAGTCATGGACAGGCAAGAGCCAGCAAACAGTGACTCAATTATATATTCTGAGGGAAGTGCTGTAGAAGAAGGGGAAGCTACAACAAGATCCAAGCGAGAACATCCGCCAACACCACCTCATCCGTTTTGACAACAGTTTTCTTGAGGTGACTCACACTTTGCACCCAGCAGGGTAGACTACGACATCTATCACAAGAGGTAATGTTACTGACGAGATGAAGGGAGAGGAAGATATTTAGAACGGGAAGTTCCGAAGTCGGTGACGAGCGATGCAAAGATCGGTACTCTGACCCAGTAGGCCCTGAGGGTGGCCAGCCTGCCACAGGCAGAAGGTCATGACACTATGGCTGGCTATTCACTTTCAGAGGAGGTCTCCGGTGTTTGTCCTTCAAGTTCCTGCCAGCCAGCCAAAACAGAGTCTGGAATACTTCCCAATCCCCATACAATCTGTTCCCGCAACTGTGCCTCCTACTTCTCCTATTTCCCTGCCTACTGCAAGTTTTCAGCCTCAATTGGTGTCTCCTTGCAAGTCTAGGCCTTAAGCCCCGTCCTGTCAATGTGTTCTTGCCAATCTCCCTTTTGTAGCGGGCCCTTTTGGATGATCGGTATTGAGGGAGCTTGGTTTCCTGAACAGTCTCCAAGGGGAGTGAGGCTAGTGTGCTAGTAGTGTTCCTACCGAGGAAGACTCTCTTTGATCGCATCTTCAGGGTCCGCGTCCTTCTTACCAAGCATGCTGGGTCGGTTTCCCTTCCTTTGCCTCGCTGGTTGTCAACTCCCCTCCTTGCTCCTTTCTTTCTGAATGTCACTGACACTTCCTTTATCGCAGATGGTCTACTCTATTGTACTGGACTCAGAGTATAAATTGACACCTCAAGACTTTGTCGTCCGATCAAGGACGCGGTGTTGGTGGAATGTCTCGGGTCGATTCGGGTTGGAGACTCACTTCTCCCTTAGCATTTTCCCCCGCTCTCGTCTCCCGTAATCCAAACTTAAGTCACTGTTTATCAGCTCTAGTCCATGTACAATGCCCTGCAACCTGACAAAGCATGCGGAAGACCTGCCCTCATATCAAGCTGAGAGCGGTGTCCCTGCAGACTCCAGAGTCAGACTCTGTGAAAGACAATATCAGTTTCTTTCACAACCTTGACAATGAACTTTATGAGAAGAGGACGGGGTTCCTACGACACGGGTATTCTTCCCGAGACCGAGTATGGCAAGGTTCAATCTCTAAACCCATACTCTAAACTTGCAATTCATTCTAGACAGAGCAATCTGCTGTGGGTCAACAAGCTTACCAACCCAGACTTTGGCAGTCTTCCAGAGCAAGGACTGTAAGTGACTATAGATTTTGAGAGGATATGAGTGAGGGGGGTGGAGTGCTAAAGAGAGAGGAAGCGCTAAAGAGAGAGGAAGCTACGACCAAGTCTGAGCGAGAAGTTCCAGCCAACACCACCTAAGTGGGGCAACGGCACTTTGTGACCAGCGCAGTGTAGAATATCATCTGCAAACGGAGGTAGTATTAGTGACGTTCGAAAAGAAAGAGAGGGGAAGAGACTTAGAATGGGAAGACGATGACAAGCGAGGCAAAGGTTGGGACCCCGACCGAGCAACATGGGTCAAGCCAATGCAGCCTTGTCGGCATTCGGAAGCGGCTCGACCTACACCCTGTACTGGAGACATCCGTCAGCAGAAGGGCAATAGACATTGCTTTGCTACAGCGGCAAAAGAACAATGCTTGCAGCAGCAAAAGAATGATGTCAGTGGGATTCGAACCCACGCCGTTTCCGACTAGCGAATTCTTGCGAACCTGAAGCTAGCGCCTTAGACCACTCGGCCATAACACCTCAGAGACTGCGGATCATTCTGTTGCACACATCAACAACTACGGTGCCACATTTGTCAGGGTCTTTTTCTTTCAATTTTCTGTCCTTCTGCCTTACAGTTCTGTCCCAGCCCGTTCTGCCATCTGGCATCTTGCTTGGATATTGCTGGTGCACGCACATCAGCCTTGTCCCAGCTACTGATACTGCACAAGACATGGATATGCAGTCTGGCAGGGGTGCACTCAGTCCAGGTTCCTTGTGATCTCCAAAGGGGGGGGGGGCGCTGGCTCAAGGCAGCCTCGAGTTGGGGTTGGTTCAAGAGGTGAATAGAAAGTGTCTTGAGTCACGTACTGGAAGCAGGCCTGTTTTGAGAGCGTCTCAGCGCAGATTTCGAGCCAGGGGTGCCTGGAGACTGGCTCGAGGCTGATTCAACTGTTGCCTAGAGGCTGTCTGTAAGGGCCGAGACCCTCACTCAACTTGCGCGGAACAACAAGCTGTTCGTCGTGGTTGTTTGAGCTTCCGCAAACTTGGGTCTTACTCTCGCCACACCCGAGCTGACAAGTAGACCCAGGTGAGCACCTCTCTTGTAGACTCTTGCCGCACACGAGCTGACAAGTAGACTCAGTGCAATACACGCTAAGGTCCTGCAACTTGCTGCGCTCGCCAAGTAGTGTCGTCGGTTGATTCAACACCGACGTTCCACTGTCTTAAACCAGCTGTCTCCACTCAACCCTGCTTGAAACCAAGGCAAATCACGCCAATTGAACCAGGCTGCTTTGATGGCTACTGAGCAACACTCACCCAGGGCGCTTCAAGACCAAGCCAGCTCTTGGCCGCTCACACCCCTCACCAAGCAGGGCCAAGTTGTTATGGCCCAACCACTGCTTTGCTGGCATGTTTGTTGATATAGCAGACCTGGTAGTGTGCTACAGAGACGGCTCTTCAAAGCCATGCCGCCCACAAAGAAGCAAATGGTGCGCTGCTCCTGCACCGAGTACGGCCGCTGCCAAGTTCCGGGCGGTTCGAACGTGGTCAGTTACTACACTGAGCGTGGCCATGCCAAACAAGAACAACAATTTGCAGACATTCAGCGCGCCGCCTCGCCCGTGCCTGTACTGATGACCAGCGTCGCCGCTGCTGCTCCGCACCCGGGGCCCCTCCCCGCATGCCCTCTCCAACGCCAACCGGCACTGCGGATCAGAACATGAACTTTGACGACCAACATTTTGGAGGTGGAACTGACAATGAGGAAGCGGCGGGACCAATGCACAAAGACCTGCCGCAGCTGGGAGGGTACGTGATGAGCTGCTCCAATTCGGTAAGTGATTCCCTTCCCCCTTCTTCAGCTTCTAGATCTCTTGCAAACCTTGATCCCAACTACAGACTCGCTCAGCGCCGACTCTGACGCTCACCAGCTTGCCAAAAGGAGGATTGACGTTGATGAGGACAATCGATGAGGACGGTGGCGCTGACAAGGACGAGGACGAGGACGAAGACGACGGCGCCAACAACAGAGCCAAAACCGAGCACACCACTGGCGGCGATGTACTCGATCCGCTCAACGAGTACAAGGACCTCAACGCACGGTTCGCTTGTTGCTCAATTGACAAAGACCAGGATGGAGAAGAGGACCTCGGCAACGACAACGAGTGGGGGGAGAACCAAGACAGCGGCTTCTCTACGGGTGCCCAGACCGCTAGAAGTGGGCACAATCCCAGCTTTTCTCTCACGCGTGCCGCTGCGGATTGCTGGAAAAGCGCCGGAGCTGGCGGGATTGACAGGTCTATCGAGCTTGTTTGACCGGTACACCCGCCTGTTTTTGTGGAGTATCCAGACCTGCTGAGGTTTTGTATTCCTGACTTGCTGCTTCTTTGCAGCGCGACATGGACATCTTCCTCCTCTACATCCTTCTTGTCTGGCTCGTGGTCTACCGCTTCATCGCCCTTAACTCAATCAACCTCGTTCTTTCCTTCTTTGCCCATGTTGTCGCTCCGTTTCTCAAGCTCAACAACAAGTTTGTCCAGACAGTCAGGTCGGTCCGTCACCAGCTTAATGTTGACGCGAGCGTACAGAGGTACGCCGTTTGCAAGAAGTGCTTGCGGCTGCGGCAGATCACGAACCTTGACCTGACCAGACTCAGGAAGATCTGCGCCGACCCGCACAGCAACAACTTAATTGTCAAGAGCAAGAGTGTGAAACTGACATGGACGCCTCACCTTGTCTATGCCTACTACCCAATCACCGAATGGCTTCGTCAGACTCAACTGCGGCAATGGAGGTCGAGGCAAACTTACTGCCAGTCCGGCTTCGCCTGCGCGGCTCCCTTGCCCGACTCAGTTTGCATGCAACAGCCGCTCCGCCCTCGAACACTCTGGCCGCCCGTCTCGCCCGCGCCCGCGCCGACAATTCGCCCGCCCACCCATCCCCGCTCCACCGCGCTCTCGATCTCCTCGCGCCCGTCGCACCACCACTCAACCGCGTCGAAATGCTGCTGCCCAAGGTCCGAATTGCGGCGAGCAAGGAGGAGGCGGCGCACTCGCTCCTGTTGATGCTGGAAGGGCGGTCGGAAGGAGACGTGACGGAGGGCGGTCGGAAGGAGACGTGATGGCGTTTTCGGTCGGCAGCCTGATGGAGGGGATCGCCGGCGCCGGCGTCGCTTTCAGGGTGGTGGTCGAGGGGGGAAGAGAGGCGAAGACTGCGAGGAGGAAAGAGCTGGGTCAGCATTTCGAGATCTACGATGCGGAGCTCGAGGGGTTGCGTATCGCCCTCAGCAGCGCCGCCCAGTTCATGCCCACCAGCCACAAGAACGCCCTCCACA